GAAAGCTGGGGAGGGCTAGCCTCCCACTAGTTCGAATTAAGGGGCTACACACCTCTTAATTCGAACTAGCTAGTTCGAACTAGGCTTAATCCTCGTGGAATGAGGTTTACCTAGTTCGAACTAAGTGCTCCGTTAGTTTGAATTAAATTCGAACTAACGGAGCGCTAGTGTAGCGCCTATGAAAGTTAGTTCGAACTAACATCCGTTAGTTCGAACTAACTTTGTAGTGTAGACATACCCTTTGTTAAGAGTGCATTAGAACAGGAACTTTTGACTCTTACCTCTTTTTGAATTTCTGGATTGAATGTGAAATACAAGTTGTACCTTCCTTATCCGGGACTCTGGGGTTCCTGGACCACAGAGCCCAGGTATAGGGAGGTCGGGCTGTGGGGCCGGGGTGGCAGTGGGGGGCAAGCAACTCAGCCAGGAGCCCTGTATACATGTGTGTGGGGGGGGACAGGGGACAGGACACAGAGGAGCAGCAGGGATTTCCGGTCCCTGCGGCTGTGTTACCTGGGGTTCTTTCAACCCAAACCTCTCGGTAACTTTTACTCTCTGTGAGGTGGTGTAAGGAAATAATTCAGGGGAGACACGGTCGTCCGACTGATAGATGGATGGTACAAACAGGACAACACAAGAGTGCTTTCACTTAAAGCCAAACTTTACTTAGTCTCAAGCACTTACACATGTCCACAACAGGTTAGTAAAACACCCCGACCCTCGATAATTACCGAAGTTGAGTGTGGCTCTTGAGTGACACCGGGCAGGCTTCCGATGGTCAGTCTTCCATCTGCTGGTGGGGACAAAGATGCATCCAGAAGTAAAGAGTCCTCAAGGAGTCCTCGAGGCGTCCCTCCAAATGTTCCCAAAATTGTCCCCCCTAACCCAAACTTTTCTTCCCTATTTATCCATTAGTATTACAATAACATGTCACTCAAAAACTTGTTAGGCAAGCACTTTTTAAAGGTTAGGCAAGAAGTTTTCTTCTGATCATCACTTTTACCAGATGCATTTTTTTCTTTTTCAGAGACTCCATGCCCGGGGGCCCTGATAGATATATGTCTTAGGGCATTTAGACAAACTTCCTGTTTTTCTTAATGTATAGCTCAGTGATTTCACTAGAGATTTGGGCCTCAGGAAGGATGCAGGGTCAAGCTGCCCTTGAACTCCCCCTTCTTCCCCCTTGCTGGCTTGGTCATGCTGTCTAGGCCTATTTTGGGCCTGTTACCTTGGTTGCTAAAGTTTAAGCAGTAAGCAATAGTGGTTCAGGCACATTACTGGATCTGCCAAAATCTCCCCATACAGCTGAACAGTAGCGAGGGGCCAACAGCTGCAGCTGCAAAGCTCTGGCCCCGGCCGCAGATTATGGGGGCTGGCAGTGACAGCTGTGGAGCTCTGGCCCTGGCCATGGAGATCGGAGGGTATCTCTGGGGAGCTCCACTCGGGCACGCAGCAGTGTGTGTGGGGGGTGCTCTAGCTGGGGACAGCAGGTCAGCATGGGCCATGTTGGGAAGGACCTCCTCTGATCCTGCAACTCCCCTTGTTTAGGACTGGTCAGGTCCCAAGGATGCTGGATGAGGGAGGTACATCCTGTTTGATTCAGAGGTCTAAACCAACTAATAGTGATGGAGATGCAGCCGTGTTAGTCTGGTGTAGCTGAAACAAAAGACAGAAATATATAGCACTTTAAAGACTAACAAGATGGTTTATTAGGAGATGAGCTTTTGTGGGCCAGACCCATTTCCTCAGATCAATATGTGGAAGAAAATCGGCATAACCATATATGCCAAAGTGATACAATAAAAAAAATGAACGCATGTGAAATTGACAAATCAAATTTTAGAACAGAGTGCGGGTGAGGGGGGAAGGTTAGTGTCTGTGAGGTAATGACATAGCTCAGATCAATATGTGGAAGAAAATCGGCATAACCATATATGCCAAAGTGATACAATAAAAAAAATGAACGCATGTGAAATTGACAAATCAAATTTTAGAACAGAGTGCGGGTGAGGGGGGAAGGTTAGTGTCTGTGAGGTAATGACATAGGGATGATAATAAGGGAAGTTTCTGTGAGGTAATGACATTAGAGGTGATAATTGAGGACGCTATCTTTGTAATGGGTGAGATAATTAGAGTCTTTGTTTAAACCTATACATAAAGTGTCAAATTTAAGCATGAATGACAATTCTGAAGCTTCTGGTTGAAGTCTGGAATTAAAGTCTCTTTGAAGCAATATGCATGTTTTAAGGTCATTGAGGGAATGGTCAGTCTGGCTGAAATGGCAAGCAACGGCTTTCTCTCTGTGAGAGAGTCTTATGTCTGTTTTGTGTGCATTGATTCTTTGGCGAAGTATCTGAGACGTTTGCCAATGTACATAGCAGACGGACACTTTAGGCACATGATAGCATAAATTATATTTCTGGATGAACAGGAATATGTGTTCTTGAACTTGTAATAGGCATGGTTAGGTCCAATAATGGTGTCAGCAGAGTAAATATGTGGACAAAGCTAGCACCGGGTTTTGTTGCAAGGGAAAGTTCCAGGCTTGGTATTAGTGTGGTATGTCCTGTGGTTGTTGGTAAGAATCATCTTGAGGTTAGGTGGTTGTCTATAGGAGACTATGGGTCTGTCTCCCAGAGCCTCTTGGAGTGTAGTATCCTGTTCCAGTATAGGCTGTAGTTTATTGATAATGTGTTGGACAGGTTTAAGTTGGGGGTTGTAGGTGATGACAAGTGGTGTTCTATTGTTGGTTTTCTTGGGTCTGTCTTGAAGTAGATGGTTTCTAGGTATTCGTCTGGCTCTTTCAATTTGCTTTTTTATTTCTCCAGGTGGGTAGTTGAGGTTTATAAATGCTTGGTAGAGATCCTGAAGCTTCTGGTCTCTGTCAGTGGGATTAGAGCAGATGCGGTTGTATCTAAGGGCTTGGATATAGACGATGGATTGTATGGTGTGTCCTGGATGGAAGCTGGAGGCATGTAGGTAACTGTAGGAGTCAGTGGGTTTTCTGTAGAGAGTGGTGTCTAATTTCCCATTGGTGATTTGTACTGTGGTGTCAGAAAATGGATCTCTCGTGTAGAATGGTCCAGGCTGAGATTGATGGTAGGGTGTAGGTTGTTAAAGTCTCTGTGGAATGTATCCAGTGTTTCTTGGCCATGGGTCCAGATCATAAAGATGCCATCGATGTAGCATAAGTAGAGAAAGGGTAAAAGGGGACGGGATCTGAGAAAACATTGTTCTAAGTCAGCCATAAAGATGTTAGCGTTCTGTGGGGTCATGTGGGTACCCATGGCTGTGCCGCTGATCTGGAAGTATAAGTTGTCCCCAAATTGGAAATAATTGTGGGTGAGAACAAAGTTACACAGGTCTGCTACCAGACTGGCAGTGGTATCCTCTGGGATAGTGTTTCTAATTGCTTGTAATCTGTCTTCATGTGGGATGTTGGTGTAGAGAGCTTCTACATCCATGGTAGCAAGGATGGCGTTATCAGGGAGGTTATCGATGTTTTGTAGTTTTCTCAGGAAGTCAGTAGTATCTCGGAGATAGCTGGGAGTGTTGGTTGCGTAGGGTTTGAGAAGAGAGTAATGTCATTACCTCACAGAAACTTCCCCTATTATCACCTCTATGTCATTACCTCATAGACACTAACCTTCCCTCCTCAACCCAACTCTGTTCTAAAATTTGATTTGTCAATTTCACATGTGTTCATTTTTTTGATTGTATCACTATGGTATATATGGTTGTGCCGATTTTCTTCCACATATTAATCTGAGGAAGTGGGTCTGGCCCACGAAAGCTCATCACCTAATAAACCATCTTGTTAGTCTTTAAAGTGCTGCATAATTCCGTCTTTTGTTTAAACCAACTAATGTAGCTTTAGTCCTAGGTTGGATCCAAAACTGGGATGGATCTATTTTCTTCTTTTGGTTTTGATGCCACTGAAATCTCACAAGAACATCTGATCCGATTAGAGATAAATTATTCAAAAGCAGTTGAAATCTTTCAGAATCATCTGAACTAAAGATATTTCTGTCATTTAGGGCTGCAGTTTTACAGTAACAGTTCATAAAATTTCAGTTGCTTTTGAACCATCCTTGACTGATACTTGAACCTGGCCTATACCTAATCTAAACATCCCTTCTGTAACCCATTTGTACTATAAGTTAAAATGCAATACATTTTTAGTAATTTAACATGTCCTTAATTTTAAAACCAAGTGACTAAACTTAGTTTGTAAATCAATATTTAGGCACCTAAATAAGTAGTTTGATTTTCCAAAGTGCTGAGCATCAAGCAGCTCACATAGAAGGCAAGGAAAGTAGCTAGCTGTTGAGCGCTTTTGGAACTCAGGCCATGTATTTGTACAAACCTCAGAGTAGGCATTTATTTTTGAATATCTTGGGCTATATTTTACTTCTATTTTTATTTAAAAAGATTGTTAAAGAAAGTGCTAACTTACTGTTGTGCAGTATACACTGTGGCAGAAATCGTAGCCCCATAGAAGTCAGTGGGATGTTGCTATTGATTTCAGTAGGGCTAGGATCTCATCCTGTGTGTAGCTCATTAAGAGGGAGTTGTTAATCTGCAAAGCATTGCTGCTGTATCAGTGCCTTCCCCTTTGGGCACTACCAACAGAAAAATGGATCATACACTCTAGTAATAAGAACAGAATACTGTGCAAAGGAGTCCAAGATTATCTTCCAAAGGGCAGTTCTATACTTCCTCCTACGCTGATCTAACTTACGTTGATGAAGGGTGTAAAAAGCCCTCTTTCCTAAGCAATGCAAGATTTCTGCTTTCCATAACAGTGCTATGTCAATAGGAGACGCTTTCCCGCCAACACAGCTTCTGCTGAGATGGAATAATTATAACGATGGGAGAGCACTCACATTGGCATAGCGCATCTTTACCAGAAGTGCAACAGTGGTGCAATTGCGTTAATGCAGCTGCACTGATATAGCTCTGTAGTATAGACTTGCCCCAGTTCTCCCATTAACTGGCAGTGCGACTATGGACAAGGTCAGCTTGTGCACCTGCAACTCCTGTCCCCTGCTGGGGCTCAGAGCAGGCAGGCTGAAAGTGAGACAGGTGCAGCCTTCTGGACCTGTGGGTCAGGAGGCGGAGCAGAGAGCAGGGGATTGGGATCCCAAGTGCTGGTAGGTAAAGCAGGGGACTAGGAGACTGGGCCCACTGGGGCCAGTAGGCAGAACAGGGGGCCAGGGGATTGGGGCCACTGGGGCTGGGAAGCAGAGCAGGTGATGGCAGGGGGATTGGGGCTGCTATGACCAGGAGGCACGAAAGGGGCGGGGGGATTGGCTTAATCCAAGATTTTTTAAAATGGGTGCCTAAAGTTAGGGTCTCTTAATCCCTTATTTGGGTGCCTTATTATGCATTTGGGAGCCTGATTTTAAAACCCTATTTTGCAAATTTTGGATTTAGAAGTTGCAAATAAACTGATCAGACACAAGTCCTATGCAGGGAACATGGACCACAAATGAAGGACGCACACAAATGAAATCTAGAGTCTTTTTCAGTAATAACTCAAATAAAGTCAGGATATGGGAGTTAGTTCTTAACTGGCATTGTGTGGAAGAAATGGAGAGTCATCTAGATTTATTATGCCACTGGCCAAAAACAGACACCGGGAAGAGGAAGCTAAATATAATGTCAAATACAAGTCTACTGAGAGATCTGATACACTGAGGAGTTTTCTGATTAGCAAACACATAAATTAAAAATCTGAAAGCTGTTAGGGATTTGTGTTCGTCTAGAACAGTTCTGAGCAAGGACTTCTTTATTTGTGAAAAGATCCTTTGCAAGAAACTGAAAATCACCCATCAATCTGAATATTGAGGACTGAAATGAAATGTGTGCCCTTGTTTCACTTGAAGGGATACTGCTTAAGAGGAAGAAAAAAGAATTTTGAAGAAACATGTAGAGTTTCTGTTCTTTTATATGACCTTTAACAATCATAACAAATCAAATCCAGATGTATTTACAGTTTAGTTTGAGAAAAAAATAAGTAAAAGCTGAGTAAGGGCCTTTGGCTACATGTCTGTGTCTGATTATACTTTCAGTGTACTCCACTATGATTATTATACTGCTTCTGATATAGTTGCAATGGATATTTTTAAAATACCCTTTTATTCCAACTTCCAGTTTTATATGTTTAGATCCATATGCAGCTGTAAGCCTCTCTGAAGGTGCATTTTGCCAGGAGTCTCAGGGATCAAAGTGTGGCATTTGCACTTCTTTGAAAGGATGAAGTGTATGTTCCACTCTGCTGTCTTTACCTGGCTAGCTCTTACAATTTGCAGATGTGAGGAGAGAAGACTTCTCCCTAGTCCCTTCCATCCTCTCACTGCCGAGACACAAGACTCTAACGGTCTATTCACAAGGTGATCTCAAGGCTGAGATTTCAGAATGCTTCTGCTTGAAAAGAGGATAATCCCGCGGATTTGCCTATTCCAAAGTCTACATTAGCATCCCTTTTCCGGAAAGGGGTGCCAATGTAGACACAGCCTTTGTGTGTGAGATTAAAACTGAGAGCAAAGAATGAGTGATAAATGTTAGTAATGGGACTGCAACTGAAAGTGCAAGGGACTGAATGGTGTATTTTTTTATAGGTTGAGGAAGATGGCAATCCATATGAGGATATTGAAAAAAAGGTTTGTATAAAAAATAATGCTAAGTTATTTTTTTCCTGTACAGGAAAGGAAATATGTAACAGTAAGCAGACTATAGTACTGTAGATTGGAGGGAATTTATATGTATTTGTAACTGTGTGATGAGCAATATTTCAACTAGAAAACAATATATCACAAGCGCAATAGTACTCCTAAGGGTATGTCTACTCTAGCCCCCTAGTTCGAACTAGGGAGGCGAATGTAGGCATTCGAAGTTGCAAATGCAGCCCGGGATTTAAATATACCAGGCTTTATTTACATTTTCCCATCCGGTCGCCATTTTTTTTTTAAATTTACAAGTCCGGACTAACTGACCGCGTCTACACGCCGCAGGGACCCGGTAGTTCTAATTAAAGCTCTAGTTCGAACTACCCATTAAACCTAATTCCAGGAGGAATAATAGGTAGTTCGAACTAGGGCTTTAATTCGAACTACCAGGTCCCTGCCACATGTAGACACGGGCAGTTAGTCCGGACTTGTAAATTTCAAAAAATGGCAACCGGACGGGAAGATGCAAATCAAGCATGGGATATTTAAATCCCGGGCTTGATTTGCAACTTCAAATGCCTACATCAGCCTCCCTAATTTGAACTAGGGGGCTAGTGTAGACATACCCTTCTTGTTGTGGGCTAGACTGCATTGTGACCACATACGTAAATGAATAACTATGGGCTATTCATTTGAGTAAATTACATATTAACAAAAGTTGTTCAGTCTAGCCCTGCTTGGGGCAGAAAGGTAGCTTGATTGCTTATAGATTGTAAGCTCTTTGGGGCAGGTCCCATCTTTTGTTCTCTTTGAAGTAGCAGCTGGAAGTTCGAGGCCCCTTTGAATTGCCAGGCCCTGGGGAAACTGTCTCCTTTAGTCGTTCCCCCCTCCTCCTCCACACACACACTTTTGGTGAGCCTGGCCTGTGGAGAATCCAGTTTGAACTAGTATAGGTGAACCTCCCCAATAGGCGGTATTTTCTGGAGGTATTACAAACGAGTGAATCTGCTGGATCCCTCCCTCCTCCTGCCCATTTTTAGTATCTATTCTTGGTATCTGGAGGACTGCGGTGCCTTTTCCCTCATGGAAATACATACGATCCCTGGCTCACAGTGACACAGAAATGATATTGTAGGAAATTGCCATATTCAGCACAAGTACTTTTTCTAAATACACACAATACTTAACATTATACAGAGTTTACCATTTTGTTTTACAAACATTAAGTTGGGGGGAGGGATAGCTCAGTGGTTTGAGCATTGATCTGCTAAACCCAGGATTGTGAGATTAATCCTTGATGGGGGCATGTATGGATCTGGGGCAAATCTGTCAGGGATTGTACTTGCCCTTGCCATGAGGGTAGGGGAGTGGATTAGATGACCTCTGAAGGTCCCTTCCAGCTCTATGAGATGGTATATCTCCATATATCTTATTATTCTTTAACAGGAATTGGTTTCATTGTGCCACTGTCTACAGTCAATCACATCTTAACATCTAAGTGAAATAGATTATATGTAATACTTGAATAATTTTTATAAGGTGCAGTGCATTCATATTTGGATGCTTTATTTTGCATTACTGTTGGTCAGCACCAGGAGCATACAGTAAAACCTGAGTGTGTGTGTGACAGGGTACACTAGGCCCTTTGAAGCCTCCAAGGGGTGTCCCTGTGATCCTACCACATCTGCCTCAGAAAAGGGGAAGCAAGGGTGAGTCTTCCAGGCCTGCCTGGCCTGATTGGCTTTTTCCCCACAGCCAATCAGACAGCTGAAGGCTCAATTAAAAAGAGCTGCAGGACCTGAGCAGATCATTTGTTGATAAGGCCAGAAGGATGAAGAGGAAGAGGTTATGTGGCAGTGCCCAAAACCTGGAGAAGAGGATAAGGTTCATGTAGAAGCCCAAGCACTGGGCTGGCATTTAAAGGGTTGTAGGGCTGATGATTCTGTAGAAGGACAATTATTTGTTAGACTTTGTTACCCCAGGAAGGAGACTGAACTTGAGGGAGTGATCTGGATGGAGCTGGGCCAATAAAAACTGATATGGTAAAAGGTATCCAGCAAGGAAGGTCGGGGGCACTGCTTTATACTAGGGCAGATACAGACTTAGAGATAGCTCAGAAGGGCCTGAGGATTGAACCCAGAGACAGACTAAAGACTAACAAGGGCACAAGGATAAGCCCTGTTAGACCTTTTACCCTGGAAGGGATTTGTTGGTATATAGATATTGTGTGTGACTTGACCAATAGGCTGTGTCACTGACGTCTCACCTGAGAGCTCACATGGGGTGTTGACAGCAGCAACCAACTGGAGGTTCTCACAGAAGAGAGTTCACAATAGAGAGTTGTGATATTTCCAAGAATGATTTGTTTAAGTCTGTTTCTCTATGTTAGAAACATAATCATACATGCTGTGTCCTCTGGGAATTTTAGCATTGAAAACTTGGCCTGAAATGTACAATTACCCATTGTTAGGAGGGAATATCTTCCTATAATATACAAAAATTACTTAATAAAACTGCATTAGTAGGATTAAATATGATAATCTGTCAAACATTTGTTGAATTCAGAATGATTTTTTGTGTTTCAGAAATAGTAAATAAATTAAACAAATATGCTGTAGCCAATTAACAGTCACCAATTCAGGAAAGCATCTTATTCAATGTACTACTTAAGCATGTTCTTAACTATTAAGCATGTGCTTGAGTGTCATTGATGTCAAGGGGACTCAGATAAATGCTCAGAATTAATCATGACCATGAGTTCTGTAGGACTAAGGACAGAGTAAAGCACACGTGTAAGTTCTTTCTTGACACAAGGCTTTAAACAACTTTGTGTGTGTGTATTAACATACATCCCCAGCATGATTATCCTTTAGTACAGAATTCTGCTTTCAGCTATACCATCTGTAATTTATGGGGTGTGGATCTGTGCTTATTTCTAGATTTTAAGAATTCAAATTCAAATAAGTTTATCATATCTATTCCCTTCCATAATCTCAGCAATATTTGTGGAACACATATATTAAATAATATTAATTTTCAAAAACAGCAGGTATATGATACATAAATGCTTCAGGGAAACTCTTAAGAGGGTAAAGTGGAGAAGAGTTTAATACTCAGGCAGGGAATATGATAAAAGTAGTATTTGGAATGTATATTTGAAATAGATTTGCAGGATTTATCTTAGAACTGCCAATAAAGCTCAGAGTGTTTGATAAAGTGTCTCTCGCACAGAAAATTTGTGATTAAAAAATCAAAGCCATGTTGATTTTGTTTATTGACTTTATAATATGTTGCCAACACAGTATCTTTAATTATTTTCTCCACTTAGTTTCTTCATACTGTTCTGTGGATAAAAGTATGTTAGTGCTTCCATGAAGACAAGGTCACTATTGATCACCTAGACATTGTATACACTAAGCATCAGTCATCAATAATGCTAACCAGGAAAACAATAAAGAGAACATTCAAAAGTGAACTTTTAAATGACCTATCCATCCATTTAGGTTTTTATCCATATTCATTAGCATATCAACTTAGAGGACTATCAAGTATTAATGGAACAATTAGAGCAGTTACAGGGGCCATCTTCTAATTATCCCCAAGGGGAGGTTCTTAGCTTCAGACCCTGCCCTGTCCCACTCCATGTCTTCCCCCATAACTCCGCCCTGTTTCTTCCCATCCCCACTCTACCTCAACCCCACCCGGCCTCATTGGCAGTGCTGGGAGAAGCAGAGCAATGTGGCTGAGTTTGCTGTGCTTCCCCAGCCATATCACTCTGCTTCCCACTGGTGAGTGCGGGGGTGGTACTGCCCTGACCCTTGCTGTGGTGCACCTGGAAAGCAGAGTGAGCTGAGGCTGCTTTGCGCTGCTCCCCTGTTGCTGCTGGTGAGTGCAGGAGGGCTGGATCTCTGCGGTGGGTGCTAGGCCTCCCCACTAGTCCTCTTAGTTGCTGGCTGGCCCTTCCCAGCCACTGTGTATGGAGGGCATGTGATCCCTCATGCTCTCCACGCGTCACCCCTTCCTGGAGCACCCGTGGAATTGGCTCCTATGAGAGCATTGGTGCAGAAATGGGAGGCCTGCTCCTCAGAGGAAAACGTGTTTCTTTGGGAAGGCACAAAGAAACTGGGATCCTGTAGGACTTGCCACAGTAATAGTGGGAATGAAATAAAAATAGTGTGGGTATTGCAGTGTGGTATGAGACTAGGATTACATAAAACAACATGGATGCCATTACCTGCTGCCATCCCTCTTCAATCGGCCAGCTATAAAGACAATACTGCCACCAGCAGAAGCACCTTGCCACCCTCACTTCTGATGGCTTTCACAGTGAGCCATAGGAGTGAGGGGGGAGAGGGAGCATGACAAATTCTATGAATGGTAAGAGTGACTGTGATGGGCTGGGTCACAGAGATCTCCTTGAGACTGTCACCTGATGGCCTGATTGTACCACTGAGCCCACCTACCTAACCAATGAGGTGCCCACCATCTTGTCATTGTGAACTAGAAGCCCTGGGTTCCCCCAGCAAAGAGTTGGGGTCACAGACCATAGCAGAGCAACACAAACACTCAGAGCAGCTTAGCTCTGGGAAGGCTCAGTCAAAGGGACTTGACACAGCATCCAGGTACACAGCCCTAAAGGGACAAAACCCCAAATAGATCTTTACCACTGCATAAAGTTTACATTCATGATCCAGCATGATTTTAGTTAGCCAGATGTCCACTTATCATGAGTGAGGCCAAGTTTCCCATTGTCTCATAAAGTTTGTTTTCAGCCACCAGTTCTGGCTTTCAGTGTTCTATGCTGTTATTTAGCTCTAATTTACCCCTAAATGTCTTCTCAGAGTCCAGTAAGCAGTGGAAATGTTGGTAATGCTGCTAGACAATATTGACCTCTCATGGTTTGGTAAATTCTCTGGTTCGGTACTGGTCAGGTCCCAAAGGTGCCTGACTACAGTGGTTCAACCTGTATAGAATTTCCGTAGGGAGGGAAGTCTTTGTTCAGTTCCCCATATCCCTGTGGAAAAGTACAACGTTCAAGATGGATTCCAACACCAGATGGCATGGTCACATGTCTTCATAGGACCAATCATAGTCTGGGCTTACAGGAAAAGCAAGACTGTTCACAGAACTTTGTCCCAAATACCAGGCCATTAAGTTTCTTAAGTGCTGTTAATGACCCTCACTCAGTATGCTTAGATCACTAAACTGGTTAATACATCATAATGCTAACTTCAAATACAGGAATGATGCATGCACACAAACAGAATATACACATTCAGGGGAGTACAAGCTCTCTAATGATAGGTCTCATGTTACATTTATCAAACAGATATTTGAGTTAGGCATATTCATATTCAAAAACATATTTCCATTAAAATACTGGGGCACAACATCACAGAGGTGTGACAGGAAGTTTGCACTCACTTAGGAGTTTGCTATCATAGTTCCCCGTCAGGAAGCATTTCTTTAGATCTAGCCTTCTATGATTCCATTCAGTTATTCCAAATTACACCCTAATAATTTTGGAGCAAATTCTTTTTGGGAAATGTTCTGGACATGCCACTGACTTTAGTGGGGATTGCTTTTGTATGTCAAGAATATCATTTTGTATGTCAAGAATTTAAATTGTGTTTGAATTTGGTTTTTTGTGTGCTTCAGATATTTATAGACTGCCAGCAAGTCTTCCCTCATTTTCTTGTAGCCATTCTATACGTTAGTTTTTTTAATTTTCTGATGTAAATTGGTCTGTCACGATGTCTGAACCGGTTGCATAGAAAAATACTAATGATTTGTATTTCAGGAAAAGAAGAAAGAATGGAGCTTCAAGAATATGTTTGGATTCTTTCTCAAAAAGCCTGCAGAATCTAAAGGTATGTTACATAGTTATTGATAGATTAGAAAGAACTTCATGTGCAAGACAAATTTAGAACAGAAAACTGTAGTGCAATTAACCTAAGTTTGTGTTATATGTAGCAGACTTTTGCCTTTCTGCGTAAACATTGTCAGTGAAATCTTGAATTGTAGGTTTCATACACTGAACCATGTAGGTTAGGAATCTCTTGAATCAGCAGATTTGGAATGTGTGCTGCAAGCTTGCATACATAAGTATATTGAACTGGCCGATGAGGGTCTAAGTATGAGTGAAACAAGAAGTTAGCATCAGTTTTTCTCTTGTTGCTCAATTATGAATTTGCTCTTTTCCGGTTTGCTAGCCAATTTTATTTCAAAGTTATTTTATGCTCTCTAGCTAATAAGTTGGGGTATGTCTACACTACCCCGCTAGTTCGAACTAGCGGGGGTAATGTAGTCATCCGCAATTGCAAATGAAGCCCGGGATTTGAATTTCCCGGGCTTCATTTGCATGAAGCCGGCCGGCGCCATTTTTAAATGCCGGCTAGTTCGAACCCCGTGCCGTGCAGCTACACGCGGCACGGTGTAGCTAGTTCGGATTAGGCTTCTAATCCAAACTAGCTGTACTCCTCGTGGAATGAGGCTTCCTAATCCACGAGGAGTACAGCTAGTTCGGATTAGAAGCCTAATCCGAATTAGCTACTCAGTGCCGCATGTAGCCGCACGGCACGGGGTTCGAACTAGCTGGCATTTAAAAATGGCGCCGGCCGGCTTCATGCAAATGAAGCCCGGGAAATTCAAATCCCGGGCTTCATTTGCAATTGCGGATGACTACATTACCCCCGCTAGTTCGAACTAGCGGGGTAGTGTAGACATACCTTTGGTTAATGCCATGGGCACTTTTAGTGACACATGCCTATGTGAAATATCTAGTACTGGTGATCAAGGTAGTGATTCTACTACTGTCATGGGTTGCCAGCTAGCCTCGTCAAATGTAAAAAAGGCCACGTGCATAAATCCCCCCTGCTTTTACATAGCCTCTGTATAAGCAAGATCTTCGCAATACTTTCTAAGTGGTACCAACTGGGTCCTTGCATGCCCAGGCAAATTCTGCAAAGACTCTTAAAGCAGTATGGGAAGAAGTGTAGTGAACCTGTCCTGGCACCAGTGGTACAAGTAATATCCATTTCTTACTGTTATGGAGGGAGCATCAGCTAAGGGGAGGCAGGTGACCTTCCATGTGATGCCATCCTCAGTCTGGGCCCCCCATACTGCTTCCAGAGCCCTTGCAGAATTTGCCTGGGCATTCAAGAACCTTCCCCAGGATGCCCTTTACCTGGGGGTCATGGGGTGTGCCCCCCTCTTGCTGCACTGGAGACTTTGGGAACGGAGCAGAACATGGGGCCATTGAGCAGCCCCATGCTGGCAGCTCTTCCAGTTTGGTTGCTGTACTGCCCCCATCCTTCCTCACAGCCATGTCAGGGAGGAGCTGCCAGCATTCTGCTCCTTTCTCCACTGCAGTTTCTAGGAGAGCCTTGCAGTCCAGGACTGTCCCGGGAACTGCAGCGAGAAAAGGAGCAGAACCCCCAGCCCTGCCCTTTCACAGAGCTGCATCTCCATTTGTGTACAGCAGGACAGGCCACTGGAGGAGCTGCCAGCATGCTTCTTCCCCAGCACTCCTCCAAGCGAGAAAAGGAGCAGAACCCCAGCCACATCATTCAAACAATGGAGTGAGCCTCCCAAGACAAGTTCAGGAATGTATCAAGGGAGGTGCAAGCTGTATGCTTTTTGAAAAGGAGCCCTTGATAGCTGGGGCTCATGTAAAAGCATTGGGCAAACCTGGGAGGTGGGTCTAAAAAGGGCAGCTGGAGCATCAGCACCCCAAGCCAGCAGCCAGAGCTCCCCAACTAAGTTTGGGCTCTTCTCCCCACCCACATGGATGCCTCACTGCGAGGTAGTCCAGGCTAGCGCTGTCCTTCTCTCAGTCCCTCACTTGGAGGTGGCAGGGCTCTGGCTGTCAGGCTCAGGGTGGCAGCAGCAGTGCAGAAGTAAGAGTGGCAATGGGGAGTTGTGACTGCTGTAAAAAGTGAAACTGACAAGCACTTTTCATGTTGCCTTCCTTACTTCTGCACTGCTGCTGGCAGCCTGAGTCTGATAGCCAGAGCCCTGCCACCTCCAAGTGAGGGACTGAGAGGACAGCACTAGCCTGGGCTACCTCGTGGTGAGGGCTACCAGCATCTGCTACCTTGCTGCTGCTCTCTGCTCTGCATTAAGAACTGGTTTGCTGTGTGTGCATGTAAAAGATACAAAGAAAGGGAGTGAGGCACAGTCACTTAAGTCCACTGCTCTAGAGGACTCATTGAACAATTCCACCTTGACAGCTATAACTGAGCCCTAGCTCTTGCCAGTTGTCTTGGGAATGCATGCCACTGGAGCACAAGTCAATGAGAAAGAAAATATAGATGGTGTGACAACTCATCACCACCAAAAATAATTCATGCCTAAGATCTGATGACATAGGGAACTCAGCATTACAGTCCGTGCCATGAAGAACTTGGTTCTGATGTCATTCCTGCAGAAATATTCAAGTATGGAGGTGAGATCCTGCTCCAGTGATTGCATGGGTTACTTCTCAATGCATGGAGTACTGAAGACATATCATAACCCTTGAAAGATACCACCATTGTCACCATATACAAGAGGAAAAGAGAAAAGTCCAATTGTGGTAACTGTTGCAGAATCTCAATACTCTTCATGGCTGAAAAGGTTCTGACTAAAGTACTCTTTGATCATCTGCTGTGCAACACCACCAACTTCATATTAATGGAATTGCAATACAGCTTTGGGCCAACACGAGGTTCAGATGACTTGATATCAATAGTCCATCAGATGTATAAGAAATGCAGAAAAAAAGCAATGGACTTTTACACTCTCTATTGATCTGGCTAAAGCATTTGAAACCATCTAATTGTTTTTTAAGATTTGTTGTCCAGAAAAATTCACCAACATTCTGAGACTCTTTTCTGATGGAATGCTTGGATGAGTCTATGTAGATGGTGTTCTGTCTGACCTATTTCTTAATACTAATGGTATTAAGCAAGGCTGCATTACTGGACCACTCTTGTTCGATTTCTTCTCTGCAACAATGCTTGATGATGCTACAAAAGACATAAATGCTGTATTAGGATAAGTTTATCAGGAAAACTATTTAATCTGAACAGGCTGCAATCTTCTATGAAGGTATTGAAGGCAATTATTTATGAGCTGCTGTATGCTGATGACTGTGTTCTATAGATATATACTCTAGAAGATATACAATGGATTACAGACAGATTTGCAGAGTCTGCAGAAGGGTATGGGCTGACAATCAATCTGAAAGAGACAGAGGTCATGTATCAACCTGTACCAGGGGAACGCAACATGAAACCAAAAGTCACTATCAGCAACACACAGCTGAATGCTGTTATAGACTTTTGCTATCTTGATAGTATATTTTCAAATGATGTTACTGTAGACAAGGAGCTGACAAGTTGTACCAACAAGACCAATTCATCATTTGTCAGACTAAAAGGCAGTCTGGCCGCAACATGTTATTAAGCTTCGAACTAAGTTAAACTCTGTAAAGTTGTTGTGCTGTCCAACTTGTTGTATAACTGTAAGACCCTGGACTTGCTAGATGTATCATGTTAAGCTGCCAGATAAATTCCACAATGTCTGTGTGCCATACCCTGCATCAAGTATGGCAGATAAAATTACCATTAATGAGAGTCTTGAATGTAGTCAATGATATCCCAAAATAGCTACCCAGCATCTTCACAAGCTGCCTCTTATTTTGAAATATTTTTTGAAATAACAGGCGCTCTATTTTGTCATCGCGGTAAACCTTGTTGCACAGGGGATAAGGGTTAGCTTGAAATAACGCGTTATTTCGAAATTTGGTGCTGTATAGGTGCACCAAATTTCAAAATAGCCTATTTTGAAATAGATTCAAAATAAGATACACAATTTGCACAGCACCCTGTGTGCAGGGTTTCAGCTTCTGTGCCAGGCAATGGGGCTTGGGCTTGGGCCTTAGCTATCTAATTAAAATGGGATTGCATTCTACTTTGGGGTCCTGAACCACAGTTGAGAACAGCTGCCTTAAATAATTTTTTGACTATTCAGTTTGCTGAAAATTTCATTTTCAGTGCAGTGTGAATTATTTCAATTGTCAGCAAACTGAAGAATCCATTATTTGCACAGTTCTAGGTACTAGTGGTAACATGGATTGGTTTGCAATACGATTGCAATATTGTTTGTTCTCTGTGTTGGTAGCTTTACTGATGTGCCTAATAGCATATTATGGAACACACACCATTACTCAAATATAGATTTCATTTGTCTTCAGTCTTTGGTTGGCTTGCTATGAGTAGATGAGAGGGATGTGTCAGAAATGTACTAACAACATAAAGAGTGCTTTCATTATTTTTTTGACATGTGGAAGCAGAGTCATATACACGAGGGGTCGCCAACCTTTTTAAGCACAAAATCACTTTTTGAATTTGTCAGTTCTCAAACCCAAGTACCCCTGCTCCATCCCTTTGCTGAGGACCCACCCTCCTCACTCTGTGAAGATGGGGTACAGAGGAGAGGGACAGAGTGACATCAACGCTCCCCTGCTTCTGTCTCCCCCACTCTGCACAACAAGCAGGAGGCTCCCAAGGGGCAGCTCTGAAGCTCTGGGCAGGAGCAGCAGAGCAATGGAAGGACAATGCCGAGCTTATCCTTGAGAACCTTTGCCTGTGTGCGGGAGCAAAGCCTTAGTAACCGCACCCCACAATGGAGCGACAGTTTTGAAGGCTGGACGCCAGTTCCAGCTGGTGGGACTGGCTCATGATGGAGCGGTGGACGACCAGCAGTGGCTCTATAACTTCTGTATGAGGAAGGCGACCCTCATTGAGCTGTGTGCCTGGCTCGCCCCTGCCCTCCGTCGAAGGGACATCCAGATGCAACCTGCCATCCCCCTGGAGAAGTGGGTTGC